CCCAAGTGAAAGTCACTGTGATTTATTGTTTGAAATTACGACAGTGAAATGTTCTCTGCTACAATGTACAATGATTCACACTATTGTTCTGATTTGAAACATTCATAAAAATGTGCATTCTTTTGAAATTAATCATTTTATACTAGCTTATGTACATGTACTTTGTATACAACATTCTAACAGTGAGCTTTAAAAAAGAAATGCAAGTTCAAAGTTAAATCATTTAATATTTGGGCAGATGTTCAGTTCGCACATTTTACACAATATGCAAAATCTTGCAGTGAATGGAAAATCACCTATTACCGGTAGCTAAATGATAGTTCAGCTAAATTGGCTAAAAAAACATGCTATTTAAAGAGACTTGTTTTGCAGTATCATCGTTCGCCTGCATAGTGTTGTTCCATTCAGACATTCCTCCCTCTACAGCCTCAGATAGTGGAGTGCCTCGCTGGAACATTCACCTTGAAAATTCAAGATGTGCAGTATAGGCAAGGTGCAACAGTGAACACGGGAGTTCATTTCTTGTTTTAATGCTTATCAACTTGTCCCAGGTAGTAGGATAGGTGAATATAGAAATTAGTCTTCCCCATGGACAGGTGAATAAAAATATCAAGAGTTTTTTAAATGAATGTCTGTTAATGAAATGGACATTAACAACAATTTTATTTCTAATTACATGTATGTGATAATTAATAATAGGATCATCAATTTGGACAGGCACTTTTATTCTCCAACTCCAGCTAACCTGCATCTTTGATTTTTAATGTCACTTTCCAACATAATTGAATTATTTGTCCTGTTTCTCTTTGATGATATTACAAATTGTACTCATTCATGTACAATATACATATACTGAAGCCATCTTTTTAAGTGACATTGCATTGACTTCCTCTATCAGAAAGCACATGCCATGAGATTATTGACAGGTGAATTTCCTGTTCTAAATATTTGCAGGTGAAAAGATTTATGATAGGAAACTATGTAGCCCTTCTAATTATAGCTGGAAAACAAGACATATCATTACAGCATGCAACAAAAATGTTCTACACATTATGAATTTGTTCAACTATTTGATTTCTTTCAGTATGTTGATGTATTTACTATTAGAATTTCTTCCATTTTGTAAATTTCTGTTACTTCTGTTTAATTCTGTAAACTGTTTTGGCTGCCAGAAATATTTGTGATTTTCAAAGGGTTAATCATTTTCGATCATATTTTCATGATATCTGCTCTGTTAGAATTACAGCCTACTCATGAATGAAAATACCTGAAATTTAATATTTTGACTTAAAAACATTTTTGGGCCACTTGCATTGTTTTTGACTCCCATGTGCGAAGCACAAAATGGGAGTCTTTGCAGTTAGTGTGTCTGTA